TTTTTATCATTCGTTTGTTCGTAAGTTCAATTCTTATTCTCGTTGTTCATTTATTTATCAGATTATATTTTTATTATAAATTTATCTATACAGTTAATTTTTTATCATTCGTTTGTTCGTAAGTTCAATTCTTATTCTCGTTGTTAATTTATTTATCAGATTATATTTTTATTATAAATTTATCTATATAGTTAATTTTTATCATTCATTTGTTCGTAAGTTCAGTTCTTATTCTCGTTGTTCATTTATTTATCAGATTATATTTTTATTATAAATTTATCTATACAGTTAATTTTTTATCATTCGTTTGTTCGTAAGTTCAATTCTTATTCTCGTTGTTCATTTATTTATCAGATTATATTTTTATTATAAACTTTTACAGTTAATCGTTATCATTCATTTATTTGTAAGATCAATTTTTAGCAGAAACTTATTTACAAATTACAGTATTTCTTATACGTTCGTTTATAAGTTAAATTTCGATTAGGCACTTGTTTATAAATTACAATTAAATTTTGTAATGACACTAATTTTTCACTAATTTTGAACATTCATTTTCATCGTAATATAGTATATGCGAACATACTGAATTCGACTAGAATGTTTCGAATGCGAAAGTGTTCTAATGTCATCCGCTATGATAAATTTTATAATTTTCTAGTTTCTATTTAATTAATTGAATTGCTTCGACATTGTGGGAATTCTAATGATCGATCGTCTGAACGTGTTAAAGCTAGCCAAGATTCGATACAGTCGTTTTCGCTAGTAAAAGTAACATTAAAATGTTGATCAAAGGAAGAGATCGGATATAATCATCGCTCTTTTATTTACTTGTTCTTCTTTCTTTCTTTTTTTTATCGAACTTCGACGGCAACTTTCATTGCAATCCGTCGAGTGTAATCTTGATGTTGCTGCGTACGCGGGGCGCGAGAGGTTCGCGAGAGTAATTACTATAGGGGAAAGAATGTATTTCTTATTATTTTATTGTGAAGTAGAGAAGTCGGTTTGATTTTATGTGTCTTTCATGGGCTCTAGCAGATGATGTATCAAATGAAAGTCTCTTTTATTGTGCTGCGT